TATTTTTTTTTTATTACAAATTATTTCTGGTATTAAAACCTATTTTTACACAAGTTTGGATGTTAACTATTTTCCCATAGCTGGGACCCTAACAGGTGCTACCACCCCAGATCAGGTTGGACCTGGGAACACCAGCAATTAAAAGGTGGTTCCACGCTCCTCAGAACCTCCTGATCAGAAGCCTTGCTGCTGGGTGTAGTTTATCATCATACCCAGGACGACATTACCGAGACGCTTACGAATACCAGGTACTGTTAGCTTAGATGTGCGGTAGCGCAATGAATAATTGCTCGGAATTAGAAATCAGTGACAAGTACCAATTCCATTTGGAGATGTTATATTTACTGACGCACAAATATTCTTGCGAAAGGCATGAATCCAGATATTCCCCACTTTTCTTTAATTATTTCACCTTAAACAAGACAATAAAGCCACTAAGCCACAAAGGGTACTGAGTGTTAGAGAATATGAGAAAAACTACGATTAAGGCGAGAGGACAATAAAAGAATAGGAATTAAGGCGACAGAAGATAACGATTGACACTGCATTTAAATTTTTGAAGTTCAAAGCAAGAAGTCGGAAGAGAGTTCCACAAGCGACAAGTGCGATAGAGGAAACTGTTAGCATAGAACTTACGGTTACATCTAGTCATTTCATTTATAAGATGGCGAAACCTTACCGCCAATCTAGTATTGAGCTTAAATGTAAAAAATCGAGATACCATAGATAAAAGTTTATGAGAACAATTACCACGAAAGTATTTATAGAAAATGTACAGGGAAGCTACAATAGGGTGAGGGAAAAGTGACTGAAGCCGAGATGCCAGATCAGAACCAATAACATTGCAAATTCATCTTTGGATTTTAGCAAGAATCTCTAAATATATAGCAGGGACACCGGACTAGATATGGCAGCAATATTCAAAGCTTGGACGAATGATAGAATTATGAATATGCAAAATAGATGTAAGAATGGATCAGTAAGTGCGTAGCCTTCCAGGTAATTATTGGTAAAGATTCTAATGTGAAAATTTTCCGGGAAAAGATATAATAATATATCACTGATATATATCACTGAATTATGTGCATTGACACGAAAAGAGATTATATTGAAAAATAAATATTTGTTGAGCAAGAAAAATGATTTTCCATTATGTTTTTCATCGGGCCAGTCAATGAAATGCTTTCAGAAGGAAGGAAATTATGTTGAAAATGCTTTATTCATGATTAGGATACGGAGTTACTGATGCGCTTAAATATTCTCCACGTGTTTATTGCCATAGTAACGAGGTTTCGGACGATGTACGCTCCGGTCTTTTTCAGAACATTTAAGAGAAAAGTATTTATAGAAAAGGCACAAGGAAGCTAGATTACGGCGGTGGGAAAGTGACTGAAGCCGAGATGCCAGATCAGAACCAATAACATTGCAAATTCATCTTTGGATTTTAGCAAGAATCTCTAAATATATAGCAGGGACACCGGACCAGATATGGCAGCAATATTCAAAGCAAGGGCGAATGTTAGAATTATAAATATGCAAAATAGATGTAAGAATGGATCCATAAGTGCGTAGCCTGCCAGGTAATTATTGAAGGTTCATTTTCATGCTGTCTGGATCACTTAGGTCTAAGCGTCCACATGGAAAGACATGTCATAAAATGTCTCGTAATAAAGCCGGAGATGCTGCCATGAACAATTTTTCGTTATCGCTATAGATTACGTTTGCTGAATATTTATTAACTGCCAATTCCTATTTGCAAAATACATAGGAATTTTAGTTTCTGATAAAGTTCTGTTCAATTTCCTGTATTTAAAAAGATAAATTCATTTATTTGTAAATAACGCTTTCCTTCTTGACCTCACACAATACCTTTCTTCGTGATTTCAATAGTAAAAGAGACAAGGAAATTTAAGTAATTTTCTCGCAAGAATCCATCTTGGATATTTATAAATCTACCTTTTGTCCGTGCTTTGAATATTGCTGCCATATCTGGTCTGTTGCTTCTGCTGTATATCTCGTGATTCTTGACAAAATTCAAAGAAGGGTCTGTGATGTAATCGATCCTGACCTGGCATCTCGACTCCAGTCACTTTCTCACCGACCTGACGTGGATTCCTTCTCTTTTCTAAAAAAAAAAAATTTCATAGTAATTGTTCCGACGATCTTTCCTTTCTGGTTTCTCGATTGCATAAATTTAAGCGTGCTACTCGATGGGCAATTAGGTCTCACCGTCTTACTCTTGAACTAGCTAGATGCAACCGTATGTCCTATTCTAATGCTTTTTTTTTCTTCTCGCACTTCTCGCCTGTGGAACCCTCTCCCGGTTTCTTACTTCCGTGTCACCTACAATCTTCAAGATTTTAAATGCAACACCAATCGCCATTTTCTGTCGTCCTGGCTTCTGTTCTATTATTGTCCTTTCTCCTCATTAAAATCTCCTCATTCTCTTTCACTCCCCGTAACCCTTTACGTCTTAGTGGAATTATCGCCTTGCTTGAGGGTGAAATGATTATTAAAAAAAAAGGATTGTGCTGGAGATAGTCTTGCGGCAAACCTCAAGGTGCTACAAAACCCGAATATTAAACTAAGAACACAAGTCATCTAGGATTTACACTACATCTTGTTGCTATTGTATTATAATTGTATTTGTCCCGCCCTTCATTAGTTTGCACAACCATTACGTCCTGCCAATACCTAATAAATAAAGAACTATTCCGTTTTGATCGTTTAGGAAGAGGGGACACTACCTGGTTTCAGTAAGAAAATGAAAGAAAGAAAGAAAAAGCGAGGACAGAAGTCTGTAACGGCTATTTTCAGTGAAATGGAAATGTTTTCAATTTGAAATCTTTTCATTTGTACCCCCTTACTTCTTAAAATAATGACCTGCATTATTATTGATGATTTTTATTGTAATATTTTGTTAAAGTTGTTAAGCTCAAATATTTAACGATGCTATAGAGGAATCTATACGGATATTTTCCAGTGAGGAACGAACTCACAATTCAGTCGTAATTGTTCTAGCGAACCAAGCTTGTTAACCATTACACCGCCTCGAGGTGCCCATATAAAATACATATAAGAGTGGATCAATAAGTGCGTAGCCTGCCAGGCAATTATTGGCAAAGATTCTATTGTGATAATTTTCCGGGAAAAAGATTTTATAATATATCATTCATATACAGCACTGAATTAAGTGCATTGACACGAAAAGAGATTATATTGAAAAATAAATATTTGTTGAACAATAAAAATGCTTTTTCATTGGACCAATCAATGAAATGCTTTCAGAAGGAAGGAGATTATGTTGAAAATGCTTTATTCATGATTAGGATACGGAGTTACTGATGCGTTTAAATATTCTCCAAAGAATTAAGTGCATTGACATTATGTTGAATAATAAATATTTGCTGAAGAAAATTATTTTTTCTTTCATAATTAGGCTATAGACTTAACGATGTGTGTACATATTTAAGACTGGATTAAGTGCCTGTCTATATTTCTGAGAGGAGGTAGAAGAGGAGGACAACAACACTCAGAAAACAGTCTGCCTTCCTTATGTGAAAGGGTTATCAGAGAAAATACAAAGGATCTATGGTCCATAAAACAACAGGACAACCTTCAAAAGCGGGACGACACTTCGCAGATATCTCTCCCGAGTAAGACCCCCCCCTTAGTGGAGAACATGACTAAAAACTGTGTGTACGCTATCCCGTGCAGCTGCGGAAAGAAATATAAAGGGGAGACCGGCCGCCCCCTTAAGGTAAGTCTTCAAGAACACCAGAAAACTGTAACACGAGGGGAAGTGGAAAAATCAGGCGTGGCTGACCACATATGGAGAGAGATCAAGTTGCGATCATAGACAAAGAGTACCATTGGAAAATTTGTAAACTTAAGTAATCAGCACATATGCTAGGCCACAAAATATCTCCTGAGCCGACCAAGCATAAAAATGAATACAATATGAGAACCAGTAATAAGGAGTGCTAGAGAAAACGATAATAACAACGAAAATTGCAATATGAGCTCTGGTAAAAACATAAAATGATAACAGAAAAAAATTGCAATATGAGCACTGGTAAAAAAAGGTCACTGATGACATTAGGCTTATAATACCCGGAAATCCTCTGAAAGTTCACTGCTGCCTTGGGGACACGTGGCACAGTGGATAAAGGCGTTGGTTAGATCCAGTGACAGGACCCAAAGACTGTGAGTTCAATACCCGGTTAAGGCAGTGGAGAACTTGGAGAGGGGAATTAACAGGAGATAACTGACATCCATTAGACATGGCACGTGGAACTAGAACAGTCTACCACAGTGAGCAAAATAAAGGGTTCCGTTCGACATTCCAACCACCTGAAGAAGGGCGGAGCGTACAACGGCCGAAACGTTGTGATAAATATGGCAACAAAGATGATGACAATAGTCCGAATAATGTAACTAGTAGATTAAGTGCATTGACACGGAAAATGATTACGTAAAAATAATATATATTTATGTAAAAAATATTTTTTCCGTTGTTAAGTTACGAACTAGCTACGGATACATCCGACCCTGTCAGCTCGAAGGGTCAATACGGCGTTACGTTATTTATTCAGCGACTAGAATTGTATTATCGAAGATGATAGGTTTCTATCTGACGGGAAGTTATATGATGTACAGATAGAATCCAGGAATCAATAATCGAATTGATGGTGAAGGCAACATGAGGCAACTTCTAACTGTTAAGGAAATCGATTTTAATATTCATATTCCGGTAGGGTTGTGAAGACCAGATGATAGATTCAGTGATAAGACTTTCCTTTCGTTAAATTTTGACAGACACGAAAAGAAAAGATGGCCGAATCGATTTGAACGATCAAGAGAAATGCAAATGTCGTTGGAGGCGTGCGGTCAAATGAAAACCAACTAAATGAACACTTAGAAAAATGGAGAAAAAAAATGTCTAAACCAATATGAGAGAAAGTAAATAAGAAGCATTTGTAATTGAATGAATTATAAAGATGTCTTCAGGCCGATATTTTTGCTTACTTTTAAGATTTCCTTTCGTTTCTGTTAAATTTAGGTTCGTCGTAATATTGTTAATGTTTGATTTGTTTTTTCTTAAGGCTTCCATAAGATAATATTATCTTTTCGGGCTGTTTGAATTTCTTCATTTCTTTCGACTTATTTTCCTGTTCTAGTTTTCTGTCATTGCATGATATTTTATATCGAAATCTGTATCGATCTCAGTGGAATCATATCTATCTATCTATCTATCTATCTATCTATCTATCTATCTATCTATCTATCTATCTATCTCATTCTATTTCCATCTTTCTTCCCAACTATCTTTCTCATACTTTTTCTATCTATTTCATCTTCTTTCTTTCTATATTATTCTTTTTCTTTCTTTCTTTCTTTCTTTCTTTCTTTCTTTCTTTCTTTCTTTCTTTCGCATTTTTTTATCTATCTATCAATCTATCATTCTCATTCTTTCCTTCTTTTTTTCTTTCTTTCTTTCTATGTCATCTATCTATCTATCTATCTATCTATCTCATTCTTTTTCTTTCTTTCTTTCTTTCTTTCTTTCTTTCTTTCTTTCTTTCTTTCTTTCTATCTACTTACCTACCTACCTACATACCTATCTCATCTTTTTTCTACCTATCTCATTCTCTTTCTTTCTATCTCATTCTTTTTCTTTCTTTCTTTCTTTCTTTCTTTCTTTCTTTCTATATCTATCTATCAATCTCATACTTTTCTTTCTATCTATCTATCTATCTATCTATCTATCTATCTATCTATCTATCTATCTCATTCTTTTTCTATCTATCTATCTATCTATCTATCTATCTATCTATCTATCTATCTATCTATCTCATTCTTTTTCTCTATCTATCTATCTATCTATCTATCTATCTATCTATCTATCTATCTATCTCATTCTTTTCCTATCTATCTATCTATCTATCTATCTATCTATCTATCTATCTATCTATCTATCTATCTATCTCAGTCTGTTCATATCTATCTATCTATCTATCTATCTATCTATCTATCTATCTATCTATCTATCTATCTATCTATCTATCGCATTCTATTTCCATCTTCCCAACTATCTTTCTCATACTTTTTCTATCTATTTCATCTTCTTTCTTTCTATATTATTCTTTTTCTTTCTTTCTTTCTTTCTTTCTTTCTTTCTTTCTTTCTTTCTTTCTTTCTTTCTTTCTTTCTTTCTATGTCATCTATCTATCTATCTATCTATCTCATTCTTTTTTTCTTTCTTTCTTTCTTTCTTTCTTTCTTTCTTTCTTTCTTTCTTTCTTTCTTTCTTTCTTTCTACCTACCTACCTACCTACCTACCTACTTACATAGCTATCTCATCTTTTTCTATCTATTTCATCCTCTTTCTTTCTATCTCATTCTTTTTTCTTTCTTTCTTTCTTTCTTTATCTATCTATCTATCTATCTATCTATCTATCTATCTATCTCATCCATTCTCTTTCTCTCTTACTGTCTATGTATGTATTTATCATATTCTTATTATATCTATCTATATATCTATCTAGTTCCTGTTCTCCCCTCCTTTACGGCCCTATTACGTTGTAACACTGATTCTGGGATGATCGATAAAGTTGAGCCTATTCAGTACTTAACTAGATGAACGTTTGGGAAGACCAGGCGCTTGGATGTGCAGGTGGTGCAATGGATCACGGCTCAAAATTAGAAATCGGAGAGCCGAGTTCCAATTCCAGTCGAGTTCGTTATTTTCACTTAGGGTCAAATACCCTTTGGAAAGCAATGAATCTACCTTTTCTCCCACCCTGCTATGGCTTCATCATTCGAACTTGTATCAATAAATCCTTATTATTTTCCCAACATTCGAAAAAGATTTCTGGCTTTAAATAGCCCGCAACAGGTCGATAAACCGTAAAAAACCAAATCAATCAATTCAACCTATCTATCGATACTTTGTTATGTTCAATTATTTGCCCGGTTTTATAAACACGTCTTCAGAATCTGACATTTGAAAGGATTTCAACGATGAAACAGTCGCGTTTGGAAATGAAATCGTCGCTTTCCGACTGCAAAACAACTTTTTAATCTCCTTATCACGAAGAGAATGTTAAAATACGATAGGATAATCCTTCCAAATCAGCTCAGAGTTACACAAATAAATACTACAAAACAAAACACACGTGTAATCGTAGTTTTTCGTCGTGGAAAGAGACTGAATTAAAGAAGGCATTCCGTTATCTCGTTTACTGAGGCTACAGCGTGTACTTCCCACTGCGAAGCAATTGCCGTAACACAGTAGAATCCATCATATCCGGAATCTCTCATATCCGGAGTGCTTCATATCCGGAATCTCTCATATCCGGAGTGCTTCATATCCGGAATCCCGCATATCCGGACATGATTTTGATGTGTATATTTGAACTATTTTGGCGATATGTAAATGATTTGAAATTGATTTAAAAATGCTCGTTAAATTATTTGTTTTGCATACGTGGCATACTTAATTTAATGAATTTTCATTAATATGACATAATTTATTTCTTTTTCCTTAAAATTAATTCCGTTATATTTCACTCACCATTAGCTTATTTTGTTTACTATAAAACATTGAAAATAAATGTTAAACCTGATTTCAGTTCTTTTATTTTAATCTAAATATAACCCCTCATATACGGACTTTGTAACCAATTCCTTTTATCCGGAAGGCCTTCTTAGTCCGATTATCAGGGATTCTACTGTACTTGAATGTAAGACGTAATTATTGACATAGTCTCTGTGTGTTGGCAGGGGAGTAGATATGTTATTGTCCTAGTTTTCTCGAGTACGCCAGTAGTCAAACGAAATAAACACCGCTTAAAACAAACGGAACGTCTACTCAAATAGGGGTATCCACTAAAAATTATGTTTGACGTAATAAAAATATAATTAATTCTTTTTGATTCTGCTGATGTTAGTCTGTCAGTGGCAAATTGAGTTAAGAGCTGGATTACTGCGTTTATTTCGTGTTAATACCTTTGGAGAAGGCATGAATCCAACCTATTCTCTCTCCACCAGCTATGGGGTAAATAATTGGGTAGAGTGTAATATTTAGCCTTGAATTGCATCCAAGGATTACTCTGAAGTCAACAATACAGATAAGATTAGGGGAAACCACACCACGATCTTTCTCAAGTAGACAGCGCAATATGAAAATAATTAAGAAAAATTGCTTACGTCCAGAAGGGTCATGGCATTGAAAGCCGTAGAGAAAGTGACGGGAAACCACTCCACTGTCTTCCCCAAGAAATGATGACAATTCACAGATGAAAAAGGGAAAGGAAACAGTGGAGAGGTATGATCGCTTACGTCCTGAAAGATCATGGAATTTAAAGCTATGGAGAAGATAACCAGAAACTACTCCGTTATCTTTCCCCAAGAAATCATGACAGATAAAAAGGAAAAGTATTTTGTGGAGAGCCATGATCACTTATGTTCTGAAAGTAAAAAAAAAAAAAAAAAAAAAATCCACAAAACCATGATGTCTATGAGATGAACATAATTTCCCAAATCAGCTACTGACAGCTCTCAATTGCCGGCCATTTACAAATCGAACAGAAAAAAAAACATGGTCGTTAAATTAATGTGATTTTGCCTTTCTTGTTAGTCTGACGTATATATTAATAGCTCTAGTATAAACATGACATGTTCAGGACCGGTTCTTTCTACCCACGACCTTCCTGACCAGTAGAGGGAGGAGACTAATGATAATCACTAACCGCCCCACGCAGTCGGATGTGGCACAAGGCCGAATTTATTGTGGGATATCCGAGCCCATAGGCTCGGCCAAAAATTCCGCGTAGAGCCCGTAAAAACGGAGTCAGGTAGCTGTTTCCCGAGACGAGACTCTGCGCTTCGACATAGCCTCGTCTGGGGAACCTCTCTACCCGGAGTTTGATCAGCACACTCCGAAGTAATCTTGATAGTGATGGTGGGGGGAGTCTGATTAGGGCCCCTTGCAGAGATTTGTGAGCCTCATCTTATCAACATTTGCTATAAATTAAAAACTGACAAATGACGATTGGAGGATAAAAAAATTTAATTCTGGAGTATTTTGGCCAAATCTATGAATTTGTTTCGCTCATGCTAAATCAGGAACAAACGCTATGTAAAATTCACTGTTTTATCCATAATGGTCAATGTGTTAAATGCTTTAACTTTTTAACTAGAAAAATCTCAAGTTGATGTTAAAAATTGCCTCAAAACATTGTTGATTAATGTAAGATGGTATCATTTATGACAGGTCTCTAATTTTTATTTAGATTCATTGTATTTATTTTCTCGTTGAATTGTTCACCTATATTGCACACGATCCATTATTGTACATAATTAGGTTACAACAGAATTTGCATTTTATATGAATACTACATTATGTAAATTGACATGTAGTAAAGTCGGAGGGGGGGGGGCATATCACAGATCACCAATCTGATGAGCCTAAGCCTTTTAATAAAATGAAGAACATGAATAATTTCAAATGTTAAAAAAAACTGAATGATTACTTTTAATTTAATTAGACGAACTATTTCTTAAACCACTTTTCTCAGACTGCTTACATTATTAGCAGTAATAATAATAATAATAATGATAATGATGATGATAATAATAATAATAATGATGATAATGATGATGATGATGATGATAATGATGATGATGATGATAATAATGATGATGATAATGATGATGATGATGATGATAATAATGATGATAATGATGTTGATGATGATAATAATAATGAAGATGATAATGATGATAATAATAATGATGATAATGATGATAATAATAATGATAATGATGATGATGATAATAATAATGATGATAATGATGATGATAATAATGATGATGATAATAATAATGATGATGATGATAATAATAATGATAATGATGATGATGATAATGATGATAATAATAATGATAATGATGATGATAATAATAATGATGATAATGATAATGATGATGATAATAATAATGATGATGATGGTGATGATAATAATGATGATAATGATAATAATAATGATGATAATGATGATGATGATAATAATGTTGATGATGATGATGATAATAATAATAATGATGATGATGATAATAATAATAATAATAATAATAATAATAATAATAATGCTAAAAAAGCTATTCATGCCATCGATTTCACTAACACAGATCATTAAAATGCACAAATGGTTTACGGGGATCAGAGAGCGGGAAAAGTGAAAAGGGACCTGATCGCAAATAATTTAATATCATTGTTCTTGCTGGATTGTAAGTGGATCGTTTCTTCTTTTTTTTTTCCTCCTTCAGAAATACTAACAAAGACAAGTGCACAAGCGATAAATAAAATAAAAATGGCTATTAAAAAAAAAAAACGATTCAAAACAGTTAAACAAGAACGAGAAAAATATAAAAAGATTTGCCAAGATTTTTTTGTTTTTTTTTATAAAGGCAAGCATCGGCAATCTGCAGTCGCTTTAAATAATTATAACTTTATTACTGGATGCCTGTAGACATTTATTAAGTGGTAATTGGGGCTGATTATTTATCAAACGATTATAGGTGACGGTGTCCTGAAGAAAGTCAAGGGTAACTAAAGGGGTAGCAGATATTTGCTGCTCTTAACATAGTCATTAAAACATTAGTGTAAGAACTTTTTTCTTTTCTTTTTTTTTTTTGTTGCTAAATTTCAATTAATCCAAGGAAGTGAGTATCAATTGAAATAATAATTCCATAAGTTAATTCCTAATGCAATTCTATAGTAAAATAATTCGCAATGCAATTCTATAGTAAAATAATTTGAAATGCATTTTCATAGTAAAACATTTCGTAATTAATTTTTATAGTAACATACTTCACAGTGCATTATCATACCAAAATAATTATCATTCATTTTAATAGCAAACTATTTTTCATTTAGTTTAATAGTAAGAAAATTTATATTGCATTTCTATAGTAAAATAATTTGCAATGCATTTCTATGATAACATCATTTGAAATACATTTAATAGTAAAATCATTTGCGATGTATTTCTGTAGTAAAATCATTTGAAATGCATTTTCATAGTAAAATCATTTGTTATATGTTTGGCAGTTGAAATTTGTAGGACACATAATGAGAGAAAAAGGTTTGGAAAAATTGACACTCACAGGGCATTAATGGCAAGAGGAACAGAGTGAAATAGCGAGTAACCTATCTAAGGAACTTGTGCAGAACAGGGTTTAGGAGAGATAGCAAAGGACAGAAAGAGCTAGAAATGATACGAAATTGTGGCCCTGAATGAACATGGCACAGAAGAAGAAGAAGAAGAAGAAGAAGAAGAAGAAGAAGAAGAAGAAGAAGAAGAAGAAGAAGAAGAAGAAGACTTGTATTTAAGCCTCTGAAACGTATTTTGAGTTTACCCTTTAAGAAGGGTGATCCTTTATTGCCCAAAAGTAAATATCTGCAATGTTATTGGTCCTGATCTGGCATCTCGGCTTCAGTCACTTTCCCACCGCTATAACATAGCTCGCCTGTACCTTTTCTATAAATACTTTCATGGTAATTGTTCTGATATACCTT